GCATCCATTTCAAAAGCCAAAAACGGTTTTAAAAAACAAACACACGTTTTTCTTCCAACAACAATTTTAATAGATTTAACGAAATTCAACTAATCAACACATCAAGTCAACAAAAGGATTTTTGCATCATTGTGCCACCCTTTCATTTTTTGTTAAGCGAAAGTTGTTGAGATACATGGATACTTGACCTCGAATGGTCCCAAGTCTCGATGACTCCTTAGGTCAATTGAAACCTACTAGTGGAACAGTTTACTCCAACCATCCCTCTTGGGCTTGGTCGAGGAGCCTTCCTTTTGCGCTACTGACCTTCATAATCCAATGACGTTTCGTCTTTCTCGTTAACAATTTTACTTTCAATTGATTTAACAAACTACCAGTGTTAACACTTTTCATGAATATAAGTTGAAATTCGAATTAACTAACTCTTATTTAATTATATTATTCGACATACTTGAAGAAGTTCAGCCAAATCACATTACAGCAACACACAGAAAACCAGTCACCACACTTGTTTACAGTACACACAACATTCGAAACATTTGACTCCAAATTTATGGAAAATAAAACATAATTTGTTGTAATCACTTTTCTTCAATTTCAATAATTTTTTTCATTGGCACCTTCACCTCCTCTTTAGGAACAGTAACAATGAGGACTCCATTATCCATGGAGGCCTTGAGTTGATCAACTTTAGCATTCTCCGGCAGCCTAAACTGGCGGCAAAAACTGTGGCCACGGTTGCGCTCGACGCAATGCCATTTCTCGGTATTTTTATCAGAATCTTCCACTGATTTCCTCTCCCCACTGATTTGCAAAAGCCTTCCTTCACTCACTTCAACCTTCACATCCTCTTTGCTTAGCCCAGGAAGATCTGCCATGAAAATGTGGGCTTCTGGGGTCTCTTTCCAGTCGATTGGTGTGCTCAACACTGGGCACATATTGATCAGAGAAATAAAAGGCTCTGTGTTGGTGAATAAATTGCTTATGAGTGACATTTTTTGGATGAAAGTTTTTTGCAAGAAGGGATTTAAAACTTTGGATAATTTTGTTTGAAGATGGCATGCGATATTTATAGAAGGATGAATAATGAGTATTGGTTTCTTGAATCTTCTACATGTTCCATATCTTTAACCTAAAATAAGGTTTTGCCCAATCTTTCTACTATGTTCTGTCTGAGACTCGAACATTCTCTTGCGTCATCTGAATTATTGCAACTTTTGAAAACTACAATGAGAAATTTTACTTTGGGCCACCAGATTCGTATTAGAGTCGGATCGAACCAGGTGGTTGGGCACAATTTCAATTAAAAATCACTTCT